GCTGCAAGACGAGCGTTTCGTACGAGACTTCCTCCAAAAGTCACGCGTCGAGTCTCAAAAACGAGCGTTTCGCACGAGACTTCCTCCAAAAGTCACACGTCAAGTCTCCAAAACGAGCGTTTCGTACGAGACTTCCTCCAAATGTCCAGCGGAAACACCCATCGGAGCGTATACATCACGCAGCCCTGCCTAGCAATTTCGCGATTCCAGCCCCTCCAAACGACACCCGCTCACACGCCAATCCCAATGTGACAGCGACATTCACCTCTACCATAACGCACGACCTCGCGATTCCCTGCGCCTGCCACGAATCTTTCCGCATCCACACGTCTAACGCGCACAAAGTACTGCGCCTGCCACGAAATGTCAACTCCGTCACACCTCGCAACCTCACGATTTCCTGCGCCTGCCACGAAAATCGCACTTCCACACCTCAAAATCAGCACAAAGTACTATGCCTGCCACGAAAAGTGAGAATATCATCTCACATGAGCTTCAACAAAATTTGCACCACACCACACGTTTAGAATGATTTCGACCCGTTCTGAGCACACTCCCATCCACCAAAATCGCCATTTCAGCTGAGACTTGTCGCGAAAACAGAGCTTCGATGCCACACCCTGAAATGCAAATCCCAATGGCACGGCCACATCCAACACCCCAAAAACACGACTCTCCAAACGCTAATCCCAATGGAACTGCGCAGTAAACTGCGGATCTCTCAAACCACTGCGCCTGTGCAGCGAAATCCATCACGCTTCTTGCGCGACATGTCATTTTCATGCAAATCACAATGGAATAGCGTCGCAAACTGACACGTGACACATCCATGAAAAGTCACTTGCAAAAGCTTCCCCCAATGGCAGCGCCTTAGCGTCCTACTGCGAACGGTTGCGGACGGTTGCGAACGGTTGCGGACGGTTGCGAACATAGAAACAACGGATCGCGAACAAGACTCTACCCCCAGACCCCCAGAGTTAAACGAGAACCCTTCGCTACGCATTCGGGAATAAAACATCACTTCTGGCCATCTCCGAGCCAAGGAAACACATTAAAAACAAGACATATATAAAGGAAAATGGTCGCGTTGTTGCAAACTTCCTAAAACCCCGCTCAGAGCACATAAGCCGATCCACCAATGGACATCGGGCCCAACGATGCTTCCAACCGCTCCTCTTTGCACCTTGTTTTCCGTTCCTCCTCTCCAAGGAGCGAAAAGCTGGAGGAATACTCCGGATGGAAGGACACCTGGAGCGAGCTCGCCGCAACCCGCCCGCGAACGCTCCACTCGCCGTGAACCCGACCGCACCGCTGCCCACACCGCTGACTGGTGGTCGCCGGTGCCCAACAAGGCAGGCGGGTCTCGAAAGGTCGGCGTTGACGCTTTGGTGTTGTTCCAGCTTTTGGGCGCCGCTTTGAATGGTGCAAAACAAGGCGTGCTTGTCCACCATTCTCCATGGTTCCCGTCTCTTCTCTTCTCTTCGCCAACCCCGCGCAGCGCGTGTTCCACGGCGCCTGTGCTCCGCACATCTTGCGAGTGATGGCGCAAATCCTCGGACGGTCCGACGGACCGTCGTTCAGCGACGGCAACGCCAGGACCATGGCTGTAAAGCAGGTGTGGACGGCATGTGTGTGGAAGATGAGACGGTCTTCTTTCTTCAAGCTAAAAACGATCTCGCGTCACGCGGCTGCCAAGACTCTTGTTGGGTACGAGGTTCTCAGCGGCTGTCTTCAAGACCAGCTTCATGCACTCCTCAGGATGCAGCTCAGTGGAATTCCAGATGTGGGGGGCATGTCGGGAAGGTCTTGTGCGGCCAGGGCAATGGAACCGGCGATGGTACGTATCAAAACACAATTTCAAACAGGTGGGATCACATGTATCGTATCGCCGTCTGAAGTACCTTCCCCAGGACCTTCCCAGTGACCTTTTGAGATCCCAGAATGGGATCACTTAGGCCTTGAAAAGGTCACTTAGCAGGTCACTGGAGAAAATTGTGGAGATCACGTCCTTGCGATGTTCACACCTGTTCCACCGCTCGGGCGTTGGACTAAGAGTCAGCTCGGGCGTCCAGTTGGAGAGGGTGGGCACATTATAAAGAAAAGCACTCCCTGAGATCATCATCGAAGTGGATGGCGTCTTCGGAATTCATGGTCATCCCCCATGTTCCACTAGTTTGTTTATTTCAAGGAGATAGATGTTCCACTTTGCAGGGTGGACCTTCTAAGAAGCTCCGAGACCTGGGCACGAGCTTCGGTTCGTTCAGTGCAGTTTCGCCACGAAGCGGTCAGCACGTGAACGAAGCGGTCAGGGGATGCAGCGAAGCAAGTGTTCAATTCCATCATCCTTCGGTGCCAGACTCACTTCCATCGCGACTTCGGTCACGTTAGATGATGTGTCTTTTGTCCTAAACGTCCACCTCTTTCAGCTTCGCCCGGTGGCCGGCGGATGGAGAACCCATGTGCCACAACCAGCCCTGCAAGTCCCAAGCGTCTTCTTGGCTGCTGCAGCTGCACAGCATGCGACCATCACCTCCACCTTGGCAGTTCTCCTCGTGAGAGATGAAGATGGAACCCGGCGTGAACCGGAAGGGTTCGAGGTGTCTTTGCTTAACAGGAACCGGTATGTGATCTGGGGATTCTATCACCACCCTGCCAGGGGGGTTCAGGATTTTTGGGCTTCAGGAACCAGTTTGGCGATCTTGAACCTGGTTTTTTCCCAACCAAACTCCCAAACTCCGGAGTGATGTTGAGTTCAGTCAACCATTCTTCTCTGGGGATCTTGGGCGCGAAGCGATGCGGATGCGATGACGCGATGGGCCATCCGATCACGCGGAGCTGCAGGGATGGACTGCTCCAAACACACGATCTCATAGGGACAAAGCCTACATGTAGCAAAGGACAAGCTCTAGGAGCCATTATTTGTTTAAATTCAACAAAACTTCCGACACTAGTGATGGCTTCTCTTCCCTGTTCGCATGCAAATTTGATCAAAGTTGGCCTCACTCAGGCTTGGGGGGGACGGGGGGATTAGTCAGGTTCCGTGGTGCCCGTCTTCACGCGCAACGAAAACGAACCGCCCACACTCCCGTCGCTCCTGAGAGAGGATGCGATCCATGGTGCCGATCTGCTCTTGGCATTGACTGGTGTGGTAGTCCGGTCCTGGACCATAGACTGAACAGTGACAGAAACGAGCGAGCGGAAACGCCGGAGGAAACGGAGGGAGCGAAGGGTTCACCCGAAAGGACCAGAGCGACGCTCCTCCTGGGAGGACCACCCTTAAAGGTTGGCTTCACTCGCCACGAGAAGCCGAGAGAGGTCGATCGGGATTTGACCTTTGAAAGGACCAAGTCAGCATCGGAGTTGTCCTTCCCTCAAACGGACCCTGATTTAAAGTATATATATATATATAGCTTCTAATTCAGACTCCAAGTCTCTGCTGCCTCAAAAACAACCTAAAAACACCTCCATTTGGAGGGTACTTTCTGATGGTCTGCCCACCTAACCTATAGGGCATGCCTCAACTCTAGTGCGCGATGGTCTAACACCACCTGACGTGTCACCGGACCTCATCACCGCACCAGTCATCCACCGCTCAGTCATCCGGTTTCGTCTCTCCTTGGAAGACTGAGACCCGACCGCCACCCTCGGGCTGCACCAGGAAGCAATCACCCAGATTTCGGCAGGCCCTCAGAAGCGGTGTCGGTGCCAGTTTCTGGCCGTCTCGAAGAGTCGAGCGCGAGAAGCGAGCGGTGTCGGGAGCCGCGCTGGTCACTTGGGAGGTGGTCTTTGAAGTGGCAAATGGGCCGAAAGATTCTTGGGACACACAACCAAAACTCGACCAAAGCAATACGAGGTCCTCCGGTTTAGATCTTTAAGCAATATGGCAATATACTTTGCATCTATTTGCATTGTATATGACAAGTGTATTTCAGTGACTTCAAAGCCGAGCCCTGATTTGACACCTTTCTAACCTACCAAAAACACTCATGGACATCTTACAAAAAAGGCCTTGTGTCATCTCCAAACATGGTCATCTCCAACCTCAAAAAGCCTATAGATTCTTCGGGTCATTCTGCGCTTGCCCAACCACAAAAAAGAAACAAAACACGCCAAACGGCGGCTTTCGCCAAGGCTCTGGTGAATTCCCATCAGCTTCTGCGATCCAGTGTCCAGCTGCACATCCACCGTCTGCGCGGGCGTGCCGATCGACAGCTGGGCGGTAATGGTGCCGTCCATGCCCAGCACTTGGCCTGGAAAGGAAGAAGGAAGGAGCGATAGGACATCTCAAATCTCTGAGTCCTCCACTCCTGGGTCCCTTGAGGCGTCTGCTATATCTTCTGCTATCTCTTTTCACACAGCCCAAGAGTTCGTGCTCGACTCGACTCGCAAGTGGAGCTCTTCCACTTCACAGGTCGTCCCGGTCGTCTCGTCTGCGGAAGGCGCAAACAGCTGAAGCTGTCGGTGTGTGCAAACAGCTGAGCTGTGATCCCCTTAGCCTTGAACACAGCTCTGTCAGGTGTCTTTTGTCTCACCACTTCCCATTTTGGGTGCACCAAAAAGCTTCTATGACCGCAATCGCCGCACCTGCCACGCCCTTCATGGGGATGGGCTTGGTATTGGCCGCGCCGTAGTTCACCTTGCAGCCGTCGGCCGATCCCAACATCACCAGCTGAGGCTTGCTCAAATCGCTGGTGTCATACCTCAGTGCGCGTGACGCGTCATACGGAAGGAAAGAAAAGATGAAAAGATCACCGTTTGGTCCTGCATTTCCTCCGGGAGTGGCTCTTTTCATCATTGTCTGATGTATTTGGTCTTCTGCATTCCATTTCAGGAGAGGCCTGGTCTTCTGTGTTTTGTTCGATAATATTGTGTCTTTTGGTCCATCCGGTCGAGGGTTTTTCTCGGTTCCAGGTTCGAGGTTTTAGACCCGTCCGGATGGATTCAGGGCCGGCACCCATGGGACTGGCAGGGCTGACTCCCCAGAAACAGCCAGGGGTGGTTGATGATCAGGGGTCAATGTAGGAGAATGTACGCTCCCACTTCGAGTTAGTGAGTCGGATTGTAGGTTCCATACCGACATGGAGCGTCTGGGGTAGATTCGGGGACGCTCAATGCCCACGGATTGATTCCAGCGGATGGTGTGAACGGCCTGCGGCTCTGAGGGCTCACTTTCGAGGTTGTCCGCTTGGAATCCCACGGGGTACTTTTTGGGGTCTGTCTTGAAATGTTGTTTGTTGCGATCGTTGTTTGCGTGGTGAGTGCACGCGCTCCACCCGCAGAGAAAAACCGGGCGCCTGACTGGCATCTGACTGCGTCTGTTTCTGTGTCTCACTGAGACTGCTGGTGTCATGTCTGTTTGTCCCGGGAGCCGAGCTGTCGGATGCGACGTGTCCTTCGAAGAAGCCAGGGACTCTCATTTGGGACCGGTGAATTCTTCGGCTCAGTCGACGATTCGACTTTGGATTGGGACTTGAGGCCGAGGGTAGGTGACGAAAGCTAGCAGGGGTGCATCCGGACTGGTGGGACATCAAGCGGAGTGAGGCAAATGCTCATGAGGTAAAACGTTGTGAACATGTAAGACACACAAACAGCAATGACACAGCCAACCTTAGAATTGAAGTCCCCGATAATTAAGGAAGCGTGGCTGGACTTTGCCACACTGGTCGATGCATCCGATGTGTTCACGAACCTGTGAGCTTGTTGAATCTGTTGCACCGTATCCCAAAACCTCCACGGAGGAGTTGAACCAGTGTGGATGCCATAAGAGGTGCCCAAGAGGTGTCCCAGAGGCAAAACAAAGCTGCTTGCATGATTTGTTTGGTTTCTTCTATCGATGTCGATGTCATGAACGTGTGAGCTGTTGCACCGTATCCCGGAGGAGTTAAGCCAAAGTGGATGCCATAAGAGATGCCCCAGAGGTGTCCCAGAGGCGTCGGAGGGGGGAGTTGAACCCACGGGGGAGGGAGGGGGCCCCCCTACATATGAAGTTTTCACGTGATTCGGCGATCCCGAGGATTCCAGCCCCTCACTTGCTAAAGCAAGGACAACTCCAGCTAGCTGGTGCTAGCTTTCGTGAAGAAAACCCCAAAAACATCCTCACACCGGAAGGCTGGATGGAAATGATGGAGTAATGGGTAGACCTTGAAAATCCCGTTTGTAGCTATGATAATTAGGATATTGAAGCGCTTGCTAACTGCTTGCTAAGAGCTGAGACCTGTCACCAGTCTGGATCCGAGCCTTTAGCCCCCCATGAGCGAAGAAGTCGTGCCGTGCACCTGTTGCGGGGTGTCCGAGTCCCTCTGAACCTCGCTTCGTCCACAATCCTTTGGGGTTTTCACCAGGTTTTCACCAACCACACCGGTGGGGTCCTGCTGAACTCTCTGCAGGGTGTGGGGACAGTGGTCGATGTTGGGTGCTGGTCAGTCTGCTCACGTCCCGCTCACAAACACCCTTGGAGAGCTCAAAAAACGGAAAGAAGCCGGCGCGCTAATGTTTTGCTAACGGAAATGCCCAGGACCGGTCGGTTTTTTCTGTGAGCCAGCCCAGAAAAGAGCTGGCATTAAGCATCGCATCGAGCTACAGAATGGTCTTGCCATAGTTGAAGGAAGTGCCCAAAAGCATGTAGTCTCCTTGGAGAACGATGCGCAAGCGCAACGGCCAGCGATGCATCGTAACGCGAAAACGAGGACCTCCTCTCCCCGAGGCCAGTGATGTCTTAGTGGTTCCTTTAGGCGGAGGACCTCTGGGGGTCCAGTGGTTCCTTCGGCTTCGCAGCCACAGCCACGTGATCTTCACAACTTGATCAGGCTCAGCCTTTCAGCTGCTTTCGAGCAAGCCAAAATTGGATCAAAGGCCATAGGCTGTTCAACGCTTGCAACCTGCCACGGCAGTGGCCAAGTGGGTCTCTTTTCCTGCCTTTTTGCGGTGGAGATCATCACTGAGTCACGCCAAGACTCCTCCACTGCTGCCCCAGGAGATCCTTGGAATTGTCAACACAGGATAGACTACCAAAGGGACACATGCAGGCAACAAACGTGCAAAAAGCCTGGGTCCCGCTCTGCCAACTAAAACTAAAAGTCCTTTAGAAGTCCAACTTAACTTAAAGAAGTATGACTTGGGTTCGTTGACCGACAGTGATACCGTCCGTGTGATTCGAAGCAAGGGCCTGTCTTCAACGATTTCTTCCCCAGGGCTTCTTCCAGTCTCCGCAGTCGCAGGTGCTTTTCGCCCGAGACCCGGCGCACCGTCGGAAGGACCCGCCGACCGCCGAGGTGGGTTGCGCCGCGGTGGGGACCCTGCGCGTGTATCCGACGCGGCGACTCTGCCGAAGGCACTTGAACTTCCCAGAGCAGGGCTCGGTCTCGTAGAAGAAGGACTTCTTCGAGACGCTAAAGCTGGAGTCTGCGCGGCATGTCTTCGTGACGACGTCTTGACATGTTTGAACCGAACCAGCGTTTGACGAAGAATTTTACACCACGAAGCCACCTCAACCATTCAAAGTAAAAATATCTAAAAAGACTCAGCTGGAAGATCTTGGAAGGCTCAGCTGGGAGCAGATGCTGACGCTTGAAGCCCAGCTGGGCTTCAGCCCAGGCATTCCTCGTTCTCTGGTCGATCAGTCGATCTGACCTCGATCTTGGACTCTAGACTTGGCACATCTCGCAGGGTGGAGGGGTCAAGGGGTGGGGCCAACGCGGTACAACCAGGGCACATGGGTGGGCCTCTAAATGCGGGTCGACCCGAGGCGCTCACAACGGCCGAGATCGCGTAGCAGCTGAACACACCACCCGCAGGCCGAAGTGACAGTATCTCCCGATCAAAGTACATCAAAGTACCACAACATACCACAACCATATACATCATACATGATACTACCCTGTTCTTGTTCGTCCTTGCACTGCTACCGCACTGCTACCGCACTGCTCTATCACTGTCGCATGACGATGCCAGTGGAGACCTTTGCTAAAGCAAGATAGTGACAGAGTTTTGCTGCCGGTGGTACTACCAAAGACCTGATCACTCGGAGGTCGCAGATTTGTTTGCAGCTTGAGACATGGAGATGTGAGTCATGTGAGTCTCAATCAAATATATTAATATTATATATTGCTTCAAAGTCCAATGACTACACTGACTACAGCCCCCCGAAAGAATAACACTCCCAAGCCGGGAGTCTACACCATCCGATTGCAACTCATCCCTCCATCACCATCACCAAAGGCCCGCACCCTCTCGTCACCCTCTCTGACTTCGTGACTTCGCCTGGGCCCAGCTTCACGACGAAGTCGCCCAGGTACTGCGTGGCGCAGTCCGCCGCGGCCTTGGAGACGGTGACGTCGCTGGCGTAGTAGCCTGGGCTCGGGCACGCCAGCGCGGTCGCCAAGGCGAGCTCGGTGGGAGAGCGGTTGGAAGTCGGACGGTTGGAAGTTGGAAGTTGGTATACCTGGTTTGGAGGGTTGTTGAAGGCTGAAGAAGAAACAACTTTTTGGGGGTGGGACCGAGCACCGTCAGATGGATTTTGGTGACGGAGCTTTCGGAGGAAAGATGGACGAAAGCTTTTTGTGTGCGTTTCGTGCCCATGTCAAGTGGGGTCAAAGGTTGGAGTCAGAGGATGCACCCTTCTATTCTATTCTTTGTCCTTTATTCTTTTGAAACGAACTCTCAGCATGGTCTTGCCGTTTGATTCTGCCTCTGTTTCTAGCTTTCGACACGGCACTTCGCTCGACAAATGATTGGCAAATCAAGCCTTCAGTCATTCCTCTCCGCTGAACCTGCCTCCGAAGGACATGGACGGCCTGCCCCTTTTTCAAAGATATCGAAAGAAGATGATATACGATGATGCTCTTCAAAACAAGCCATTGGCTTCGATGACAACGTCCCAGCAGAGATTGTTTCATCATTTTTCACTATATAGAAAACCAAAACAGAAATGAGCAATAGAAGGGAGGAGGCTCTGAGGAGCCTTCCCTTCCCATGTGCAGTTTTTTCGTTGTATACGGACCGGCTTTTCGTTTCCGACATCCAGCTCCAAGAGGCCGCTCAAGCTCTGCAAGGAATAGCCCCAAACACGTTGACAGGAGGCATCCGCCGAAATCGCCTGCCTGCCGGAAAGGGGAAAACCTTGCCAGCTCGTCTCCAAACAGTATGAGTCAGAGTGGAGGGAGGACCTTGAAGTGGTGTTAACCGACCCCAAAACAAAAATTGTAAATACTCAAGATAGACAAGTGTACATTGCCCTGATTCAAAGACTATGTCCATTGGCCAACGGGGGGGCTGTCCACATCCGTGTTTGTTCTTTGACGATCTTTGAAGTCTATCTCCGCTTTGTGTTCAAAATACACATCTATAAATTAAACCATATCATATAACCCATACCTGGAAGCTGAGTGACCCCTGTTTTGGAGGATCAACTATCCAAAATATGGCCCAACCTCCTATCAAAAGGGAGACCATGGCTGGGTTCTAGGTACCTAAAGTCTCTCACCTTCAAGAACAAGATCTTGCTCAAAACATCCTACCAAGTCAGCTCCGTTCTCCAGTCCCTAACAGAAACCAAACCAGCTCAGAACACACAACCAAAATCAGGCGGCACACATCAAGCGCCAACGGCCGGTTTGTTCTCATTCTCGGCTTGGCTGTTTATTCTCGCTATATAGTGCGATACCCAAAATCGAATTCTCTGCCAGGAACCCTTCCCAGGACTCGGAACCTCTCTCGTCTCAAAAACACCTTCTTCGCGGGCGCCTCGTCGCCCCAGACGCCCAGAGAACGACCCGCCGACGGAGACCGTCGAGACCCTCGCCCAGACGAACCGTCATCCACCAAGGTGCTTGAGTCCCTCAACGACTGCAGACCACAGGGAGGGTGCCATCATGAAGCCCGGAGTGCCGGTGTCCTCCGCCGATGTGGGTCCGGGCCAAATGCAAACCGGTCCCTACGGGAGTGACAGGTTGTGGAAGTGAAATGAAGTTCAACTGTGACCCCAAACTGGACAGACGTCGTTAAATTTGTTTTTTGTTACTAAAAACGGTGACCTTTTCTACGGATCCTGAGCGTTTGGTGATCCCCAAAATGCCAGGTGGAACAGACATGCAGGGACGAGCGCCTCCTCTGGGGATGGACGTCGGTCTTTCGTGTTGAGTGGCGTCTGACTGAGGGAGATATGCCCAAAGCAAATTCGACAGGGAGGGATGGCACTATGGCTCCGGGTGGCGGGACCAAATGTGCTGGGATGGTTGTGACTAAGGGCTTTTTGGGGGGGGCCGGACCTCCTGTTGTGAGCTTGAAAAAATCATTTTTTGTGGTTATAGGTCTTGGTATTTGGATTCTGGGTGATTTTTGAGGAGTCCATGAACCAGCAGGAGGCAATATTTTGGCAAGCGAGTTAATTGCGATTTGGTGGGATTAAAATAGATTAAACATTAAATAAGAGTTGTGAACAAAGGTAAATATTGCAGAAACAACTTGGGCGATGCATCCTGGGTGACTGAATCCTGGGTCGACCTCGTGTGCCTTCGAAGCTATCCCTCTCAAAAAAAGGGGATCACTTGCAGAAAAATCGCTGATTCCTTAGATTCCTTGGTGTCCCCAGTCTTGCTCTGGCACCCTTCCAAAAGAGAAGCATCACAGGCCTTGGAGGTCGAAAAAACCACGACTCCCTGGTGCACCAAGGAGCTGAGAAGCCATAGCCCTGTCCTTGGGGTCCCGGTGTTTCACCACACGTGACCCACCCGGTCTTTTCGAAGCACGAACCAATCGGATTGAGTGCTCACGTCCCATCAGGTGCCATTCCTTCGGATTCTTCACGTGCCATTCCTTCCCATTTCTTTGCCATTCCTTTAATAGACGATATGGTGATATTGATCCTCAAAACGGGTCCTCACACCTGGGCCCTTTGCCCTTTGAGGGAGCACACCGAGACATCACGATCACGTGGGACATCGGACCAGACTTCCCGGCGACGAGACGTCGGAGACATCAGATTTCGGACCATTCGGAGACGTCACAAGGGCTGGGGCTTCCATCATGCTGGGAGGTTCACGAGTCGGGCGTAGGAAGAGACGACGTGATCTGACTTCTGACACCTCACGAGCCATAGGTATCCATAGGTTCGTTCTTTAAGCTCTTGGTGATGATATTCGTTGATGACTCGCTTGTCTCGCTTGTTTCGAAAGAAAGTCAGGCTAACCCCGAATGGTCACTCTGCTTGATCCCCAAGGAATGGTGCTTCGAAGGGTTTTTGCGGGGTCCAAATTGGTTTCGTGTTCCTGTCCAACCAAGCTCCCAGGGGTTCTTCTTTCAGCCATGAACCAATATGAACCAATAACCAATCTGCCAATCTGAACCACCACATGGCCTTTCAATGAATCCGGGCTTGCCCGCAAGACCAATTCAAACAGAATATGCATGGTATTATTTATAATCAAAATCCCAAAACAACTGGCCCTAGCATAGAAAAGAGATGAAAAGAGTAAACAGCTAACACATAGGCTCTTGCAGTTAAGGTCGCAAAGTTTGAAGAAGGTCAATGTAACCCAATGAACAAAACGACTCACGACGATCATCGATCAACATAACGACCCGACCATCCAAGATTCCCATGTAGTAGTTCCAGTCCTTCGCCTGACCGCGCTGCAGAGCGTGCTGATTCCCATGCTGTAATGGTATCTCACCATGACCAGCACCACCAGCAACCGCCGCCAAGGAGAAAAGAAGGGGAAGAAGCAGAACAAGAAGGAAGGAGGGAGGAGAAGAACAAAAGCAAACAACAACAAAAACAGCTAAAGTGAAAAATGAAGGCCACAAACAACCACCAAAAAATAACAATGAAACGACCTTGCCATGAGGTGACCGTCACGTTCTTCGGCTGAAACCGACCCACTTCCAGTTGGAACGGAACGCCCAATCGACGAGGGACACGGCCGTCGTCTCCGCGGACGCGAAGGCGAGAAGTCGACACAGTCAGTCGTTCGACACAAGTCAAGTCGACCGGATCGTCTTCGATCGGCCTTCCTTGGTCGCAGCTTTTTCGACAATCCATGCCGCACTCCGGTCGCATCACGTCAGTGGCGCCCTGCCTTCTGGGTGCCAATCTGCTTGCTGTTGTAGTAAAACTGCACATCCTGATGGCCGTTGACCCGAAGGTGAAAAACGGTCAATCCCTTGTTCATCCTTTCCTTTCCAAAATAGCTTGCTGTTGAGGTGGCCAGTCCGTACTTCCGACCTCTTCGGAGTCCGCGGCAACGCGGCCCGACCCACGGCTCCTCCGAGTCGACTCCGACGTCATGACGTCATACGTATGTCATAGTCTCATCGTGTTTCTGTTTATATATGAGACTATGCAAAGCAATCGTATCATTTTGCATTCGTTCAGACCCTGAACTCAATCTGTGGACCCAGAGGCCAGTGTAAAACTTGCCTGCATGCATCCTTTTGAGGAGTCCCGCCGAGATCAGTTTGGGATGTCATATGATGTTATATGTGTGTGATCGACTTGGTTGGCCGCATTTGCGTGCATTGTAAGATTGTGTCGATCTGTCTCGTACCGACACAAGTCGAAGTCGAACTGTCGTCTCGCGCACCCATCTTACACCGGTTTTCAGAGGGTTTTCACCCTCTCCCACCCCCCACCTTCCCTGCCATGGCTTCGCTCCATCGATCGCGGCACGCTCCGCGTCTCTCGATCGATGCGTGGTCACCGGTCAGGTCTCCACCGAGGCTCTTCGTGGTCGTTGAAGCTGGCGAGAGGCGAATACATGGCCATGTTGCCGTCCAGCGGTGGCATTGGGATCCTCGGTCCGAACACCCACCCGGCGAGGCGTCGAGATCTGCGACGCGACCGACGAGGTCGAGATCTCGGTGCGCGCCAGCAACTCGAGTTGTGCCAGCAATGTAGGTTCTGTTGAAAGCACTACCTGGACATTCCTCTTCAGGAGCAAAGAAAAACATTTGGATCGACCAGAATTTTGTAATGGAACATCGATCGGTAGTGTGTTTTCAGCAGTTAGCTTTGTCGGACACTGATTGACAAGGTTTGTCCCTGAGCTTGCCAGCAAACAGGGGAGCCGTGAACACCCGGATGGCTTGTCTAGCCCAGAGTGGTCACGGCTCCATCTCTGTCCCGATGTCCCGGAGGTCTGGGGCGGGCTGAACAACCAATGAAACGATCCGAGCTAAGCTTAATTCCAACAAGTGTTTGATCTCACGTCTCGATTTGAGAGCCAGTCACTGCTAAACTCGACTCGTGCCGAAATGTTCGATCAATGAGCTAGTCACTGGGGCTTTCAGTCACTATAGCGCTGGCGCTGGGGGGGGGGGCAGAACACTTCCCGGCTGGGCCACTTCTGAGCGGTGGCCGGCAACTTGCTGGGCTTGCCCAGGTAGAGCATACCGCCACCTGACGGGCCACTTCTGTGCGGCGTGGCTCGCAGCTGTGTGTTTCCCCCCCCTCGTGGAGCATGATGTCTTTGGCTCCGCATGTGGAGCACTGTCAACTGAGTATAGCGAAATCTCCACATGAAGCATGGTATACGAGTCTTCTGATGTCTGTTCCTGTATAGCACTCATATAGTTTCTTTTCAAGGCGTTCTATGCATGCCGCCAGCTGTTTGGGTCTCAAACCCAACACCAACTGGTCTGTTTCTTTCGCTTCTCGAACGATCCCTCACTAACTCCAAGGACGGGTTTCACCACCCTTCGCGTCGCACCGCCCCGATCACCTTCCGCGCTGTCGTCGAAGCACATGGTGAAGGCGCGATCGATCTTCCCTGCCGGTGACCGGTCGAAAGCGGCTCGCGCTGCGCGCTGGGCGGTTCGGAGGTCGCAACGGTCACAGCACCCGACGGTGAAAAAGGGATGGAAGAGGTTGATCTGAAAAGGAAAGAGGTTGATCTGAAGGGATGGGATCCGAGGATGATTAAACTTCCGGGTCTGGACCAATGCATCCTCCATCATCCTCCATATCTGGAGATGGAGGGGGTGGAAGTCGCGCTCTGCGGCACATGAAGTTCCTGTGGAGCAGAGGGCATCATCTGATGAAACAAAAGACCGATGGTCAGCAAAGCCTATAGAGGCTGGGTCAGCAAACGCACTTACAGGATTTCACTCCACTTGTTCTAATCAAGAGTCTCACACCATGATCTTGACACAAAACTCCCGGTCATCTCAATGATCATCCCAACCTCCAAATATCGCTCACATCTTCTCGCACACCCCCCCGCCGGGCACAAGCTGGTCATCGTTCCAGCGCCCACCGGGCACAACCGTGGCACTGAATGGCCTTGTTGCGCCATGGTCGTCATCAAGTCATCGAAGTCGCTCTTGCCCCGGCACTGCCCCGAGAAGCAGCCGGGCCTAGGCAGCGCAGCATGCCAGAACGCTCGTGCAAGCCCGTGACCGCTCGGACGACCGAGAAAGCGCACCGTGCGGTGTGGGTGACAGGAATTGTGTTCACCACCCGCGCACTGTGCGCGGGGGAGAAAACCCCCCCGCTGGACTGGAAGAGCCACATACGTTGACATGTTTCATGGGCCCATCATGTATGTAACATCATGTAAGTATAGTCCCATGCTGTTCAGTGGCTGGATGGCAGAGCCCGCACGTCTTCTTGTTCGCCGGAAGTTGATGGAAGTTGTGGATCTTGGGGCAGTTGATCTGCAGACATTGGATATCGATATTTTTTATACCCAGACCCAGACACTCCACGTATTGTATATATAGGTATATATAGACCCCCCCACAACCACCCCAATGTATAGATAAATATGGCAGTCCCATGGAGTGTCTCGGATATGTTGTCGAAGGGTTTCCATCGGACGAAGGCCACGGCCGCCACGGAGGTGGTCGGTTCACGACCACCGCTGCGTGCCCGAAGGAAACAAAAGGTGCGAACCCCCACGACGCCCGTGTGCGAAAGGAGTTGATTAAGGAACTAAACTATAGATCTCAAAGTCTCCAAAGAGGAGATTCACCAAAGCGTGGAACATGTTATTTAGTTTGAGCAAAAACTCGGTGTGTATGTGACGTAACCTTACCACCGAACTGTGAATCGATCATCGCGTGCCAGGCTGATTCTGTGATCACCAGGCTGATTCTGTGTCAAGCCAAACAGGCCCAATTTGTCTCAGAATCAACGGATCAATAAACAATAGAATAAACAATACACCAAATTAATGAACTCACAAGAATGATCTACTATGTGCTATTGCTTCAGTAATCCACAAGAACCCGCTGCTTGGGCTCCTTCGTTGCCCAAAAGATCCTGGTGGATCGTGTTCCATTGGTCAACTTCGAATGATCAAAGGTGCGGTGGGTGGATCATAAGTTGGTTCGTCAATCTCTTCGTGGAAGAAATGGGAAGTGTGTGTTTTTGTGTTTTTCCAAACTGGTCTGAAAGAAAAATAACACACCAACAGCTGCATGTTTTATACGTACTCAAAAGAAAAAAGAAAGACCAAAAGGTGCCAAGTAGGGGGGGAGCTCCGATGTGTTTTGTCCTCCCTCTTACAGTGGTCCGTCTTCCTCGTCTTCACTCAGCGGCAGCAGGCCCAGGATGCCAGCATCCGTCGTGACCTGAAGATGACGGACGATGACACCGAAGCCTCGACAGCTGATGTGTCGCTCTTGGGAAGAGGTCCGGAAATGGGTTGGGACCGTTGGGAGGTTTGAAGAGAGCTCTTCAACCCAAAGCATGGTGAGCGGACACGGTCGAGATGGTTGACGAGTCGGTCGTGGTGTCCGACAGGTTCAAACCTGCGAAAATTGGGGATCCACATGAACCCCCGAAAGAATCAGACCGTTTGGGAGTGCTCCAAGCAGCTGGGTCAAACGAACAAAGGGTCACAGGAGTCCGAGTCAAAACAGTCAAAGGCCACAGAAGGACTCTTGGCCAATTAGCATTGAGATCTTTGTTAAGTATAGTACCTGTACCATCCTGTACCTGGACCCTCCAACAGGTCTCCTGTGATTTTCCTTGGTTTTTGCAGACGAACCGTCGAGTCGCATGTGACCTGTGAAGTCGGGTGCTGGTCGGGTCGGTTGGTAGACGTCTTATACTCGCCCATCCGCCCGGCGGTCAGGAAGATGCCACGGCCTGGTTGCAGAAACGACCAGACCTTGAGTCTGAGATACCGAAGGCATGGCTTTTTACATGTAAAACATGTGAAGCAACACCTCAACATACCTCAACAATCCTCAACATACCGCAGATGACCCTGAAAGCTATTGAAAGCTTCGCTTGGACCGCGCGCTGCGTTTCGGCCCGAGGAGCCGATTGGTACATGTTTCCCAAAGGCGCGTTCCCGATCATGTTCATGCCTCAGTGAAGGAGGGTGAGTTTGGAGTCGAGGCGAAGTTCGTTCGTTCGTTCAGGTCTGGTCGACCGGGGTGAAGAAGACGAAGTCCTTCCGAAGGTTTCAACACCTGGATTCGGAACAGAATTGAAAACCTTAGAGACTGGCTTGAAGCCCCTAGCCGGAGTCCCAAGCCTTGACAACCAAATCACCCTGGCCAAGAAAAGCTTAGCTAGCTAGCTCGTCCCCTTCGGCCAGTCCGCTTGGTGGCACTTGGTGGCCAGACCGGAGCTCATCCAGTCGTCCGCCTCGCCCACCCACCCACCTCGGCCAAGGGACCCACGCGCGCGGGGGCCGTGACGCCGCCGAAGGTCACGTCGTCGTGGCCTAGAATGCCAATGAAGTAGCTCCAGAGCTGCATGCCATAGCCTCCACGGAACTGGCGTGGCGAACACATCAGCGGTCCGGGTGGTTTTTTTGGAGAAGACGGTTTCGAAGGGAGGGGAGAAGATGGAGGGGAACGCCTGCCAAGGTAGGGGAGGGGAAAGTGGACACACTGTTCCAAGCCCAATGTTCTTTGGGAAGGACCAGGACCTCTTGATCAGTTTCTGGTTTTTGGAGAAAAGAACCTGCCAAGAAGGTAAGAAGTTCGAGTTGAAAAACAGTTCTCCAGCATAAATGTGGTCCAACCTGCATGGCCTGGTGTTCCAGGTGACCAGTTTTCGGGAGGCTCAGCAGGAAGAAATGGTATCGTGTTTCGACTCACGGACGTCACACAGAAATAGTGCCAAGATGAGCTTGTTTCCACACTAATTCTCTGACTTGAATTAGCACTTGCTTAAGGGGGGGGGGCAGGGGGGGGGTGGTGTGAGTCTTTCTGACAGAACCCAGCAATGGCTTTCCAACAAAGTCCGTTCCGTTTAGGCCGCTGAACATACTCTAGGACACTTGCCCTAAGTCGTATCTTATCACCAAAAGTCGTATCAATCAGGTGTGGCCTTGGGGAGAAGATGACCCCTGGGCATTGATTGTGTTTTGTTTTGCTTTGGAACTGCTGTGGCCTTGCGGATTGGGACATCCATCACACGTACTTGGAGAGTATTTGTCCTACTGTTTCCTTGCAGTTCTTCTCTTTGTAGATTGCACATGCTGTGGAATTAATTTCGGAAGACAGAAGTTCATAAAGTGATAACTTGCAGATATGCATTATGAGATTCCAGAGGTTACTTTGCACTCAGCCCATTTTTGGGCCCAAAGATGAGCAATGAACACCAATGCTATCATTCAGGAACCTTTAAATGGAATCATCATCCATTTGGAATCAGAATTTTGTTAGTCCTGACTATATCCAACTCACAGTTCCATCCCAACTGATCACAACCGTTCCATTCCATTCCATCCACACATCTAAACAGCGCCCTGCTCTTCCGCCTTGCCAGTAGAGGCTCTCACCCATGACCGTGCGCGTCTGGGCCAAGCGGGAGGTCTTCGTGGCGTTCATCTGATGTTGCAACTGCAGGTAGGACGTCCTCGGCCGTTTGACAGTGCGGTTCGACGAAAGCCTTTTTCGGTGTCGGTTTGTTCTGCTGACCGTGGATCAACGGTCTGACCTCTTCGTTGCCGGATCAACGGTCTGACCTTTTGTCCAAACTCCTTTGAGAGGCGGAATTCTCCTTTGGCATCCCTTGCACGGGCACGCGACAGCGCATTGATGACCCAAGGTACTACTGAGTTGGGAGCTTCAAACTGCCAAAAAGATGTGTCATGCTTTCGTGTCATATCGTATATACCTATCAGCTTCTGCGGTTCGTGACCTTTTGAAGGTTCCCAAGTGACCCTTAGGAGGCTTAAGTGACCTCAAACGAGGTTATCAAAGGTCACTTTGAAGAACCAGGTAGTTGCTTCCCCGAACCTGAGGGGGACCTAGATCCGCCCTCTGCCCCGCCCATCTGACCGAACGAGGCACTCGTCGCAGCCTGACCCATCACAAACCTCTTCGGACACCACGCCCAGGACCGCGAGCAGGACGATCGCCGCACCGCGCCTTGTTTCGCACGGAGAGCCCATCGCTTCTAAGGCAAGAAGAGCCCAGATGGACCAATTGGCGGGGTTGGTTGGGTCGGAATTGTTCGTGCTACGGCGGAGTAAATGTTTGGAAATACTGTAAATCAATATACAAATCAATTATATATATGCAGCTAGATGGTTGATCAAGAGCCTAGAAAATAGCGATGATGGTGTTTGGGTGTGGAACCACCCCAAGTTTTGCCGACACCTTCTCCAAGACGACTTAAAATCTAATGTCCCGGCACTAGGTGGACAGCAACGCACAGACTGTCTAGAATGGCCAAACCAATGCTGAGGCTGACCCAGACTATAGCCAGCTTATATAGGCTACATGTAATATAATAGACCATAATTACCTAGAACATGAATGACCTCTATTTTGGACCACCAGCCACCCAAAATATGGTCGTCCTGTCAAACCAAGAGTCCGGTTCTACAGGTATGCAGCCAGTATGCAAATAGAGCCAGGCACAGTGCGTCCGTGCGCCCCGCCTCCTGTCGCCCAAAGAAACACCAACTCATGATTCCTCCATTGCCGGCAACCCCAAGTTTTTGTTGGAACGTTCAAGGATCTTGCCATCTTGCCTGTGGCTCATCCACTGACCTACTGCATCTCAATGAGTATCCAACACACACACACAAGAGAGAGAGAGAGAGAGCGAGAGAGAGAACAAGAACCAAGCTTGTGCCCTTTTTCAAAGGCTTTCATCATTCAGTTCTGTGGCAAATCCCTCCTGCAACCCAAGGTCCAAAGACTCTAACAAAATGTGCGACGAGTGACAGGAGAGTGAGATCCTCCATCTGTGCTTCTACCATCTTCTACCCCTTGCAGCCAACCCACAACAGCCAATGTCCCCGCTCAGAACAGCCAAGGCGCATCATGGAAGTTCAAAATCTTCAGTGCAAGTGACAAAAGCACTATATGGTCGTCTGCTAAGGTTGAAGAAGACGGCTGCAGTGTTCATTGGGCGAGAAAGACCTGTCAAACTGATGGTATTGGGAATATCGTTCGTTCATCCGAAAAGGAACAACTATCTATATATATAGAAGAAAAAGAACCATGCAGCTGAGAAAGGAATAAGAAGATGTAATTGGTTTTGTATCCAAGAAACGCTCAGCCAACTGCCGTTCATCTCCTCCACATGTATCCGGTCCGCATTCTCAGTGCACGTTGCGAAATCTGGAATCCTTGGACTCCCAGGAAATACAAAACCGAAATCAACCCAGCTAGGCATCAATAACAAACACACCACAAAAATCAAAGAAGCAAAGACCACATATCACCATATACCACCCGTTGACCCGCGAGGGGCTCCACCATACCCAGACAGGGGTGGTTTCAGGGTTCAATGTCGGCATGTATCTTCCATATCATGGAGTGACTAAAATATCCGGTCTTTCATGACCATCGCTTCCAGATCGAACCCCCAGGGCCATCTGCGTTACCCCCCCCAGGGCCATCTGTCTCCGTGGCTCCCGACGTCTGAGCCGTGAGGGCGCAGTGACACGCCGCGGCGGACTGCGACACCGAGGAGTCCACCTGAGCGTCGGCGCGGACACGGAGACGGACACGAGGATGGGGGTGGGGAGGAGGGAGGGGGGTTCGTCTTGCTGGGGCGGGTTTGCAAGAGTGGATGAGTGAAGAACATGTGTTGGGAACATGTTTCTGTAGATAGGTGAAAGGTGTACTTAGGTACCAAAATCAGGGATATGCTATTCTATTTCTCTCGCTTCTTTCTTTATGGCAGTGTCTTTTAAACTGTATGGCGAATAGGTGCCTGTCACTGAACAAGTGTCATTCTTACCGAACGATTTCTGGTCTTTGAGAATAGAGGCGAGAGATGTTGAGATGCCCAAAGGGGAGAGGGTTGGGAGTGAGTGGAGAGGGCTGGTGTTGGGCTGGGTACGTGAGGTAAGCATCATTCAATTTCTCCATCCAAGAAGCATCGCCTGCAGCTCAGATTTTTAGATTTGATTTGTGCATGTGCTGCATGCCTGTGAACTACTTCAGAGGTTACAACAAAAGGCTTGGTTGATTCATGATCTTTTGGTTTAACATCAGAGCAGTGGCAGCTTTTATATGAGATTTAGCTTCTTTTGCAACTGAGTCGATTTTAGACCAATGAGTGGACTTTCCACCTGGGCCCCAGTCCAACGGACGTGCCGGAGCGGTTTCCGGGCGTTCGGAGGTTCGTTCTGGTTCGACCGGTCGTTCGCAGGTTGGGGGTGGTGTTTTTCGTCCCCAGGTGGATCATGAACACCCGCCATCCTCCAAGTTCGGCACATCCGATCAGTTCGTGGACTCCTGGTGTAGATCGATCGGTGGTCATACCGTAGATCGATGTGCGAACGGAGCATCGTTTCGCTGGTGTAGATCGATCGGATGTGCTTGGAGCATCGGAGCCCCAAAAAGGTCGTCGTCGTCATGGAGTGTCGTGGAATGCTTGTTTCGCTGAGGTGCCAGAAAGGGCTTCCGCCGGAGTTCAAGGCCAGCTGCCACGGAGGCCCACGCAGGCTTCCTCGGAGAAAACTGACCCAGTGAGGGGAGAACAATTGGAAGAAGAGGAACACTATTCATTCTTCATCTAGAAACTTTATCTAGAAACTGGGTACTTCAGTCAAAGCTCCAGTATTCCAAAGCTTACACCCACCAAAAAATGGGCGTATCTTGTCCTATCAAAAGACCGGCTCTTTGAGTCCGTGACCCGCACGCAGTCCGGTGCACGGTGCACGCGGTGCGGTGAGCTGAGCTCCCGGACCCCACCACCAGCATCAGTGGACCTCCGGTGGATCCGGAGGTGTCCGGGGCCGAAGAAGGAGGTAACAGGTGTCCCACTGGTGATTGAACAGGTGTTAGGACCTTGGAACGAAGGCCGGAGCTGTGAGGAGCCGTGCGGCTCGTCTGATTCTTGAAGCGATTGATGCGGTTCTACTGTGGAGATTTGGTGGATGACATTGGGGCACAGGAGCTGGCAAAAGGATAGGATTTCGTGTGGTGCAACTATTGCTTCACGGATCCAGTGGGTCAAGTCCTGGACGAGATCCAGTTCCCAAGAAAATGGACTACCTCAAGCCTTGAGGAATATCCTGTCGACAGAGCAAGTGGTGAGGGACACTCCCTGAACCTATACCAACTACCCTTTCCATCCCATCTTTGTGTGTGTGCCAAGCGGTGGAAAGACTGTGTATACGTCCTTTCTCAGAAGGCCTTGGCATCCCTCCAAGCAACAGCGAGCATCGAGGCAAAAGGACACCACCCGACGTACTATCTCTTCCGACCAGTTCGCTGGAGGGGGGTTGTCCGGGACATGATTTACGATGAAGTCTGACTCACCCGGCGGCAACACGCTCCAAATGCGGCAACCGCCTTCCCTGCTCTGTGCAGCTTGCAGGAGCTCGATCATGGTCTCCTTTGGAAGAGAGGATGGCTTGGAGATGGGCATCAGCAGTTTAAACAAAATAAAGCACACACACACAAGAAATGGTTTCAATCAGGTAGAAATCCAATTCCATCATCAACGGCCAGCTTGGCATTCTTGTTGTTCTTTTGTCGCCTTTTTTGGGTAGCCATGTGTGACCCCGTTCTGCTGGTGGAAGGTCGCCCCGGAACTGGCTCTGCACATGCCTTCACTGCTTCGCTGGAAGTTGTTCTCCGCCCCATGATGTGTGTTACTGTGTATTTGCATAGGGAGATCCCCAACCAAGGGGACTCTTGCCATCTTTTGCCCTTCCTAGGTCGAACGGGAGTCGGTCTCCCTACTTTAATACACACCCGATGCGGTGACATTTCAACCCCAAAAGTTGCCACAATCCAATTGGCAGTGTTTGATCATTGATCATCGTCTACATTTCTGGCATCAATCTCTTTCGTGGATCAGGTGACCCCCTGACCCCCTGACGCCTGAGCTCACCTCAGACACCGCGGACGTGCTTCGTGCAGAACTGCGGACGAGCTGACACCGCGGGTTCGTGCGAACCGTGCAAACCGCCTCGTCTTCGGCTTCTGCTGCATCCTCCAAGCCTCTTTCCAGTGCCGACGATGGTCCCAAAGACACGGAAAGTCATGGTCCAAATTGTTCTGGAGGAGGAGGAAGAAGCCAAAAGTCTTTGAAGGCGGCAACCAGACAGAGGGAGGGAGATAGAGTGAGAGAGAGAGAGAGATAGAGTGAGAGAGGGAGATTGTACAGCCCCGTGTTTACGGAAACGAGGCGATGGACACCCCGATCACCTCCGGTCCGGTGTCGGTCCGCTCTCGGCGAATGGGGAGAATGGGATGGAAGAGTGGAAGAGTTACACAGTCTTTTTCCATCGAACTCGAGGGGAGAATGGGATAGAATGGGACACCAGGGAAGCACTGGAAAGATGTTCCCCAAGGATGGATTTAGTCAATTTAGTCGTACCGAACCTCAGAAGGTACTTGACTTGGACCCTCCAAACCTACATCACAGTGTCTCCAAGCACCCTACCTGAGAAGGTACGACTGGATCCCTAGGGTTCCTATACAGCACGGTCCCATGTCGGCACCGGATTACCGACCCGGCTGGGATTCCGATCAGTGTTCCCCCAACCAACTGGTGTTCTGATCATCTCCCCCTTTCTCGCCGATCTCACTCGCTTCACTGAACATCTATCCGGCGCCTAACATGGAGATGTTCGCCGACACGGTCATGCTGCAAATGACTTCGTCGTCCGCCAGCAGGATCTCCTCGGGACGACGCCGACGACCCGTCCCGGAGGGTACCGTCGTCCCGAGGGTACCGTCGTCCCGAAGGGGTAAGGCGCGGGTTTCAACCTGCGCGGACCGTCTCCGTTCGTAAGATGCGTTGGACCCACGCTCTGTGCCATATCAGAAGTTAAAAGACAGTCGGGTATGGGAGTGACCAAACCCCCCACCCAAAAAAGGACAAAAAAAAACAGGATGGGTGGACATGGGTGGACCAAAAAGGGTGATGAGGAATTTGCAGCAGTGTGACAAGGCACTTCCAACTTCGTGGGAAGTTTCTGCACGAAGTTTGAAGTGGTTTCCACGTCGTACGTGGTGCATGAACATGCATGAACGATGTGTATTTATTCCTGGGCCGGAGAGGATCCAAGCTCGGGCAGCTCGGGCAGCACGGGCAGCATCTTCCCCCGAACTCGAGTGATCCATCGAACAGAGATGAACAGAGTGATAGATCCTACGGAGTTCGGGCCAACATGTGGTCAAGAATGGAGGTACATTCCAGAAACCATCCGATTGTCACGTGGTGTCCGATGGAGATCCCCAAGTCGTGTTTTGTCCAATTGGACACTCCAAGTCCGATTTGTGGTCCGATCTGCATTGTGCCAGAAACTGTCCGTGTCCAACACACATCAGCACACCCCCATGCTCAGAGAGAGCATGGTCTGGTGATGTCAAAAATGCGGCGTTTGTGCGTCGCTTCACCGTCGCTCAGTCAAGCCACCACCGCACCGGAGGGTGCAGGCGGGGCCGGCGGGGCCGGCGGGGCCCTGGCCAGGGCCACGTGCGTGGGGTGGGAAGAATGTTCCAAGCTGTGGAAGACTGGGAGGCAACCAACATCGTCGTAGAACGCCACATGGGCACCTCACCTACTGAGCGTGGTGACTTGACCCAAGAAAACCTCGGATCCCGGAGGGATCACTCGGAGGGTGTCTGAGCAGAGCTGAAAAACATCGTACCTATATAAGAAAAGATGTGTTTGATTTTTACACGCTCTCACCCGAAAGGCCTTGACACTGGTGGATTTGCTGCAGGGAGAAGACCATCATCCTTCTTACTGCTTCTTTCACCCCACACCATCCAAGGACCGAAGACACCCGTCCCGACCCCTTCCGATCGCCGTCCGAAGAGCCGTGGGACGAGCGCCACCCGTCGTTTCCACACCTAGCCATCCTGAGGTTTCACATGTACTCGCATTTTTGACATGCACGAGTAGCGCGCCTTGGTCTTCGAATCTGTTTGCCTCCGAAATGAGAATCTGTTTGCCATCAATCTGTTTGTCAACTCGATCCGAGTTATTGGGAACGACGACAGTCAAAGCACTGCATCCTTCAAAGGCTTCATACCGATTCATACCCAATCTGTGTCACTGACTCGGGGTTGGTCACACTTGCCAACGACCCGCAGCCTACGAAGGCTTGACGCTTAATCCGGGTCACGGAGTCCGGGATGGTCACACTTGCCAACGAGCTGCATCCTGCAAAGGCTCTTTCCCCAATCTCGGTCACTGAGTCGGGGATGGTCACACTAGCCAAGGACGTGCACGATGCAAAGGCTGCGTTCCCAATCTGGGTCACTGAGTTGGGGATGGTCACACTTGTCAACGACCTACATCCTGCAAAGGCAATTTCCCCGATATGTGTCACGGAGTCCGGGATGGTCACAGTAGCCAGGGAGCTGCATTCTGCAAAGGCTCTTTCCCCAATCTCGGTTACTGAGTCGGGGATGGTCACACTAGCCAAGGAGGTGCAGGATTCAAAGGCTGCGTTCCCAATCTCGGTCACTGAGTCCGGGATGGTCACACTTGCCAAGGAGCTGCATCTTGCAAAGGCTTGATACCCAATCTGTGTCACCGAGTTGGGGATGATCACACTAGCCAAGGAGGTGCACGATGCGAAGGCTGCACCCCCAATGTGGGTCACTGAGTTGGGGATGGTCACACTTGCCAACGAGCTGCATCCTGCAAAGGCTGCAAGCCCAATCTCTGTCACCGAATTGGGGACGGTCACACTTGCCAACGAAATGCAGTGTAGGAAGGCTTGACTCTTAATCCGGGTCACGGAGTCCGGGATGGTCAAACTTGACAACAAGCTGGAACCTGCAAAGGCTCTATTCCCAATGTGGGTCACTGAGTTGGGGATGGTCACACTTGCCAACGACCTGCATCTTGCAAAGGCTTGATTCCCAATCTGGGTCACTGAATCGGGGATGGTCACACTTGCCAACAAGTTGCAGCACATGAATGCGTTGTGAACAATAGTTGTTGCACCATTTGTGATTTGAACTACAAATAATGACTCCGAGTGGTCAAGGTCGAGGTCGAGGTCTTCGTAGTCGAAGTCGTAAAAGTCGTCGTAGTCGTCGTAGTCGCCGTCGTCGTCATCGTCGTCATCGTCATGGCCGTCGTCATCATCATCATCCAATTCCGAGTACTCAGCAAGTTGGGTGCGAATAAATACGGAATCGAAGCCCAACTTATGCACAAACCGGCCAAACTCACGTTTGTCGGAGCACGTCACAGTATTCGGCCTCAAAATTATGGTCACTTCTGATTCTGAAGACAGGCCTGCGTCTGCAGCTGTCTCGTTGTTCGTCAGCAATCTGCTCGGCCCCACAAGAATGTCAACCCGGGTTGTTTTCCGTGTGAGTTCATCGTTCCAAAGCTGGCGGTCCTTGATCCGCTGCTTGAGTTCCCGGCCAGTCATTTCTGGCATGACTTCAAGAATCATCACTGCGCCACTCAGCTGTCGAAATGAAACCTCCATGGCCATGGCTCTTCTGTTTGCACAATCAGGAGCTACTGGTAGCTTCTTGCTTCTAGTAGTAAGGTGCCTTATTACTTGTAGCTTCTTGCTACTAGTAGCGATCGCTACTAGTAGCGTCCTTGTTACTAGAAATCATTAAGTCCAAGACCGTTGGGCGGACTAGATCCACATGCTTAGCTGCTAAGCTGACTGCAGTTGGACACGTGTCTCACCAGACTTGAAACCTCCCAACCTTCGAACTCTTTTCACATTCATGCAAAGCATTTCTTTTCACATTCTTTTCACATTCCAACCTTCAAACTCTTTTGCATGTTCGTCTGTCTTTTTCCAACCACGTCAATGTCGCCGACATGTTCATTCTAGACTGGACACGTGTCTCATCTGTGACCGATTTCTGTCGTCGTCGGACCGGTGAACTGCCTACCCCGTCGAAGAACATCGGTGCCGTTCGCATCGAACGACGGTCTGCGTAACCGTCGACACCGCAACCGACGGTCGCGCAGTGTGTCCGTTCCAACGCAAGGGGCTTTGAGAGCACGGACAAAGCACCGTGAAACGCACCGTGATAGCACGCGGCATGGACAGTACGCACGTACAGTACGCACGGTGTGAGTGGACCAAATCTCGTGACCAAGATTGGTCAAAGAGCCCGCCCCAGAACCTCTTTCCTTTCTGAACCAACTAGGGGGGCCAACCCAAAGCATATAGCTTTTGTGCTTTTGTCCAATCCTCATGTGGTGTCCAATCAATGACATTTGGTGGTGTTGGCTCAACAAGCTATGGTCAAACGACTTCGGAGTAAATGGCCATCCTTCCCATGTCAAGGGTTCCCTGTCGAGGACGACATCAACTTCACCAAACGATTGGAAGGTGGACACCGGTCTTGGGACCATTGGCAGCGCCGATGTCTTTAGCCGATGTTTCTTGTTTCGTGGGGTGTCCCCAATCCCCCCAAAAAGGTTGATCCACAAACTTCCTGGGTGGGAATGTCAACCAATCCCATAAGCCCATGGACAACACCCGACACCGCGATGAAGCAGAATATATTATATATATACATATATTATATTGATGCACCTATGTATTGCCAGCGCAAAATATTAATCCACAAAAATGTGACATTTGAACCTGCAGCTAAATTCAAGATGTGTTGCTCATGAACGTCGCCCCAGGTTTCTTGGTATAAAATGTTGCTTATTAAGTGGCACATGTCTGATCTGATGCCTTTTTGGGTCCCTGTTGGTGGTCTCCGAAACATCTTTCCCAGATTTTCCAAGAGAGCCGCTTTCGCCGCTTTCCTTTGACACTAAGCCCAGGCACAAGATGCTTGGTTCGAACTACAAACCCGCCGGAGCGACGGTGCTGCACCTGTGAATTCGAGCGGCGGCGGTGGGGGGTGGCACGGTGTTGGGGTCCGGGTGGTCAGTTGTGGATGGCACGGTCAAGAGTCCAGAGTTGCATCAGGCCAAAGAACATACTGAAATCAAAACAAATTCAACATGATTCATCTAAAAACTCTGTCTGGCCTGACAAAGCGTCCGAACAACGGTCTCCCTTTTGTGACCCCTTTTCGAGAGATGCGTTCTTTGGGGCTTCGAACATCTCGGAGACCGAACTCGTGCGGCCTTCAGCATCGAAGAACTCTTGGGCATAAAGGAAGCACTGTCAAAGCACATCGGTGTCCGAGAAGTTCTTCCTCATCGCGGCTGCGGCGCATCAGGAGTCCGGAATGCGGAAAGATCCCAAGATATATCATGCATCGGTCTAGACTGGTTCTTCTCCACTTCATGGATGCAAAAAAGAAGGGTTTCATGACGATTCACTGCTTCACCATCCGCATGACTGGTACATGAGGAGTTCTTGATATCTGAAAACGAAGCCAAGCCCTTGGGTTATTCCTTGTAGCCCTTATCCCCACCCTTTTAAGAGCCAAGGCAGCAAAGGCTGGAATGTGGTTGAAGGTGTGACATGAACATAGCTGAAGGTTTCTGTTGTGGTTGGACCGGTTCCAGACACTTCTGTGGCCACTGCACCTTGCTCCGATGGTTTGTAGAACAGCACAGTTGCAGTTCAGCTCTGTTCTTCACCATTCGATCCCTTATAGTCTTGCAAGAGATTTGAAGCTTATATAGCATCCATCATGTCATAATTATATACCTGGTTCTTCAAAGTGACCTTTTGATCTCCTGGCTTGAGGTCACAAAGAGGTCCAGAAAAAGGATCACCTACTATACATTATAAAGGGTCACTTTGAATAAGCCGGATTTGTTGTTGTTTTGGAAGGGCCATCACTTAGGCGCCGCGCTTAGATGCTCTGTGCGCTTCGTCCTAAAACACCCACCGAGAATGTGCGCCGAGGCCGAGCCGGGCGGAATGCACCGCACCGAGGCACGGCATGTTCAGATCAAAAACACCATCCTGGCCACGGCGTGTGGACGAGTCGCGAAGCTCCCAGCTTCGGCCGATTGATTCGGATGGGCATGGCACTGGAGTCGATCGCGATTGATTCTGATTGATTTGGCTCCATACATATCCATACCATCTTCACGCATTCCCTATGAACCTACCTGACCTCTGAACATGACTTTCTCCACACATCCACACACGGTCGGGTTGATCGGGTGCAGCTGCTTCAGTCTGCTCGTCTCGGGTGTCGGTGTCGGAGTCCCGCGCCTCGGCCTTTTCCAGCGCGGTGATGTTCGCAGAGCAACACACCAAGAAAGGCTGTCTGACCTGGAGGCGACAAGGCTCGACAGGAGATCGGATCTGGGGGAGAAGGGATGTGTTTGTTATTGACATCTTCAGGTTCCCCAAGCTCCCACCATCTTCCACGAATTCCCTGCAGACCACCATTCTGGAGGCCCACAAAGGCCCAGAAAAAGACAGACGGTTGATCCTGTCCAGAAACATGTGCAATCTGTTGAATGGTCCAATGAAGAATGGTGCCATATATGAATAATGGACAAAATCTAAGTTATGGATATTTATGGTATTCTATGGTAAATTATGAGTAACCTATTGTGTTGGTCATGCTTGGTCCAAAGCCTCTATTACAGGCCAGCAGCCGAACCAGGGGCGGAGACCTTCTCCCCAACACCAAACCTCTCCCGTCCCCGTCGCTCAGACGGAGCCGAGAGGTCTCGGCGACCAACATCGAAAGAGACGAAAAGGAAAACTGGTTGGTGTTTTCAAACCAGTCAGAGGGTCCAATATGAGTCAGAGGGTCCAATCATCCCCAAGTAAGGGTTGAAAAATAAACATATCCGAAACCCATCACCTAGAAAAGGAAAATATGGTGTCTCGAAAAAGAAGCAGTTCAACCTTTTTCATCCAAAAGAACTTGCCCCCCCCAGAAAAGGGTGTCTTGTCAACTGCTCTGGCCCAGAAACGCCTGAAGTTCTTTTGGCCTCTGGAGTGGGGAAGGGTAGACCAGCAAGGCAGAAGCCAAAAGCTCCCAACAGGCAACAGCAAAAAGATCCATCTATCATCGATCAAATTCCGTTCAAAACCCCAAAGGCCTTTTCATCTGCATCCACCCACATGCTTTTTCAAGCGCTTTCTCCACAGGTCAGAAAAGGCCACCTCAGCTCACCCGCCCCGCCGCCCGCGCGCATCCCGCGCCTCGCGACGCTTGATCTCCTTGGCCTCGGAGCGAGCGAAGCGAAGCGAAGGGAGCGAAGGGAGGGACCCGCCGCAGAACACGGCAGGACCGTAAGTCTTGGTGTTCTTTTCGGGGGTAAATCAATCGATGTCTGGTCTCAAGGTCTGCTCATTTGCTTGTTCACAGAGTCGACGGTCCAACGACAGTATCACTGACAGTCGACACATCCCACCAAGCTGCCATGTAAAAAGCCAAAAAAAAAACTCCAAACCTCTTTCGGTTCTTGGAACTCCTAATCCCATTTTGCTCGGTACTCGAGTTCGGTACTCGAGTTCAGTACTCCAGGGCGTCCGGAAAAGGCACCGAAGACACGGTCGAGTTCTGCTGTGCCCAGATGCTCCGTGAACGACGCCCAGATGCGGTCCCTCAAAACCTAGGGATTTGAGACCCCAGACCCCTCCATATTTGGTCCCAGCCCTCCAATATGAGGGTCCGACCCCTCCATATGAGGCTCCATGAGCGTGTGGGTGAAACTAATTATACCTGGACTCGGACCATCCAATGGATGTCCAGGCTGGACTATCCTGCAGTACTTAGGGATTCTCTTTGGACACCCATTGGATGGTCCTGCTAGAGGTGTTTTGGACGCCGTCTGTGAGAGAGACATCGGTGAGGTATCATGAGATTTCTGAAGCAAAAGCCATGTCTGATGTTGATCCTACTCACTTCACTCGTTCGTTTGCTCCCCACTTCACAGCATTCCCCCCCCCCGTTTGGTCGGACCCGAAGCTCCGGTGTCACTGGGCACCACGGGCCGCTTCGGTGCCATCCATGCCGGACATCCGGACCTCGGCTCACCGGCCGGAGGGACGGGTGGGCGCCCTGCGTGGCGGGCGAATCGTTTGCCCAGAAAGAGGCCAGCATTTGGGTCATACGCGAGTTGGATGTCTATGCTTATATGGAAAAAAAAAGGATGTCTCACAAAGCCTCGCAAAAATGGTGTCCTTCTAAGAGTTTTTTGAATATTTTGAGCTGGGCCCCTCAGTGTGCAGGCTCAAACTTGAAATGATCAAGGCCAAGATCAAGCTGGACTTTTGCTTCATCTTCACTAATAGGATGTATATGGAGGCTATAGGCTATAGTCTTGCACAGCTGAAGCTGTCAGGTCAGTGACTAAAAAGTATATTGTATGTATATAGATTTGTATACAGTATACAGGTCCTTTTCATCAGAAGGAAGGGAATTCTTCCAGGTGGCCGTCACCAAATGGGCACCCGTCAGAAGGCTTCAGGTCTTCGTTCCGTCCTAACCTCTCGGCTCGCGGCATCAAGGAAGGCCAAGACTCGTGCCGAGGGCTCCTGCGCAGGGACGGTGGGAGAGACATGTCTCGGTGGCCAAGATCAGGACCGAAGAGATTCGTGTCTCAATTGGAAAGAGTTTTGGTACCAAACTTGCCCAAGGGGACCCCTGTCATCCCCTTTGAAAGCTTTATAGCAATCGAAATTCTAGGGGAGTAGTCTCACCAAAAGGAACTGCACAAAGTCCAAGTCACCCGTTCCAAGTCTGTCGATGCAACCGCCGACGCCGTGGGCCGACCAGCTCACGAGCTGGGCGAGCTGGGCCGACCCCGGTCCTGTCGTCGCAGCTCATCCTGAGAAATCGGTGGGTCAAAGGGGACGGGCTTTTGGATGAGCCAGGGATACTCCCTGGGAGTTGTTGAACCCATCAGAATGGTCTGACATCTGACTCCAAGCTCAGACCTGGGAATTTCCTTTACTTTAGTCGGTTAGAGGATGAGGCTTCTGACTCAGCTCACTGTGCCACACCCTCAGACTCACCCAGCACTGGGCTTCATCGAACTGGAGGATTCACGGTTGGTGAGAACTCGGGGGTTCACGCGCGGGTGAGAGCTCCCTCCTCGCAAGAGGCCCGTTCGTCCCGTGCTGCTCGGAATCAGCAGAACTCCGGGTTGGAGAATCACCTACAGTAGCGGCTCAGTAGCCTGACACCGTCTTCACATGGCCTGGAGCCCCTGGACCCAGTGCTGCTTCACTTCGGAAGCCTTCCACCCAGGGGTCGGTGCAGGCAAGTGAACGAAAAACCAGTGATGGCACGGCGCGGAAAACCAATGCCACAGCCATCGAAAACGCCCATTTTTCGCAAGTAAGATCAGACAAGAGCAACGAAATCACCTCCCCATGCAGGCGGCTGGCTTGGTGTCAGCCGGGAAGTAGGGGGATGCCGACATGCCTGTCTCTTCTCACCGCGTTTTTCAGGGTGATGCCACACCCCAGAAATCCATCAGACCACATCAATGCCTGATTTGGGCTCCCCCAAATCCGGAAGAGGACCCATGGACCCACGTGGACGGACCCACTCCGTCCGCCCTTGACATGGACCTCTGAAATCCAAGCGACCCCATGACCGACCTGCCCATGGGTCCGAACCCAGCTGGGCCAGTGAGCTGGGCACCGAGAAAACCAAACGATGCACGCGACGCCATGTTCATCCTCCGAGGCTCGAAATGGTTCAAGGCTTCTTGGCCATCTTCGGCCGTCCGCAGGTTCTGCTCCGGCACCCCGATGGACCTCGAAAGAAATACCGGACGTCGTCACCATCGTGGATGTCCACTGAAAAAGAAACAATGGCTGACAATGGTGTGTTTTATAAGTTTATACAAACACCGCCACAAACAAGCACAGTCAAGCACAATGGTTCCAATTTAGACACCATGTGTTTTATAAAAGAACCACCACAGAGAGTGAAAACGCTCCATGAAGAAAGAACAAAAGCACTGGATTGTACAGACTTAAAAGCCAGGGCCCACAACTTCCCCCACCGAAAATCAGATCTGTCTTGTTCAGGGGCAATCCCACAAGATCCAAGCATATCAGCATGTCTTTGAGAAACAAGAAACCAGCACTAAAAACAGTTGAATTATCCAGCCATAGCCTCCGAACCGTACAATACGACCCATGCGCGGTTATTAAAAAAGAAAAAACGCACCGCTGGAAGTTATTTCGTCGCCATGACACTCAAGCGCTGAGGCCGCCAAGTCCATAAACATCTCCTGGAGGCTGAAGAACAGACCAAGAGGAGCACGCAGGGTTTGCCAGCGCAGCCAAAGGACAGCAGGACAACAGCTGCTAAAACAGGACAACACAGTAGGACAGCAGGAAATCGCGGAAGGCACCAAAGCTTGAGACATGGAAATGCAGCCTTTTGCCATGTCTGCAGCCAAATTCTGAACATCTAAGCTGACTCTTTCTCATCTAAGTGAGATTCGACCGCCGACAAATACGGGGTGCTGAGCCAAACAGACAGAACATGAGCTTGAAGAATCGGTGACCGGGATCGACGTCTCTGAGAGTCGGATTCGAGTCTGTTTAGAGTCGGATCAGGCGTGTAGCATCCATGAGGTTTCCCCGGAACTGGGTAGAATCATGGTAGACCGAACCTCTGGTGCAGAACGACTTCCGAACACCGTGGAACGTGTGTTCCGCACAGAACCGGGCGTGAAGCGTCGTGAGTCGACGTGTATTCGTGGCCTCATCCTCTGCAAGGATCACGTAAATGGAGCCGTAAGGATCCGCCATCGTCTTCCAACCGCGCCGTGGATGGGAGAACAAGCAGTTCCGGTCTCGCCGCGTTTCAGGAGAAGGTGTCAGCAGGTGTTGGTGGGTCAGGGTTTTCTCAATCTGGCAAGGTCTGACTTAGCGACAATGGTGTCTGCTGTGGGCATTCATCCACATCATATTTTGGGACATGTTGGGTTTCGACCTCTTCTTGTCCATCAAACTGTCTCGATGGGGTGGGTGAGGTCGCTAGTCACAGCCCGCAACAGCCGCCAACCGCACTCTTCGACCCTTGAGTGGCCATCGACAAGAGGTCTTGTCTCCCCGGATAAAACCAAATATCAAAAAACAACCAGATATGGAGGAAAAGTATTTCAGCTCCCCAACACGAGCTCCCCAAAAAGTGAGCTCTCCAGCTCTTGGCCATCGGTAAACCAGCTCGTCGCTGCTCGAGAACAGGCCCGCGTGCAGGCACGACGAAAGATTCGGTATACGTACCGGACTTCGCCAGGGCTGCGCCTGAGCAAGTTCACAGAAAGTATTTGTTTGATCAATTATTTGTATAATATTGTTTATGCTTCTGCAAATCAAAGCAGTTCTGTGTAGCTTTGCAGAAATTCCATCTGCAGTGTCGTCTTAAATCATCTTTGGGGCATCTCTTGTAACACGTCCTTCAGTCAACTGGTGGATTCGACGAAGGTCATCACGAGAGAAGAAGGAAAAAAAAGCACCAGGAGTTCCAAAGGGGTGTAGTCACTTGATGCAAGAAGCTTGATGTTCGACCAAATATTCGAGATCCTGTCAACTCTGCCTTCCCCTCTCCTCCCCATGCTGCTGTCCTCAACATGCACTCCTCTTTTCGACTCTTCATGAAGGGCGGCCGTTCACGTTGGGGCGCCTTTCGACTCGGGGGGGGGCAACCAAAGCGCTACGAATCGAAGTCCAGACTGGGAAGGCGAGGAAGCCCTTCCGCAGGATCCATGTGAAGCCGAAGCGGGGAACCTTCGCTTCTGCGCCTAAGAGCGATTTTTTTCAGTTTGGACCATCCCGAAGTTGTTTGTTGATAGCCAGGAAATGCCAGACTTGGACGTTGGACAGATTTCAAGAAGATGAGTCTTGCAAAGGCGTGGATTAGGACCAACTTTTTCCGGCCCCTCCACTCAAATTCGCTCTTTTTCTGACTTGAGATGTGGGGATGTTCATTAGCAGTACCAGCTTTTGTCAATTCTCATGTAAAGCAACCACTCGTCGAAAACCACCTCCTACGAGTTACTAGCAGCGCTGCTTGTCTGCACTCCCTCCCATTCTCCCAACCTCGGGCGGAGAGTCTCTCCTCCAGAATGGCGAAACAAGTCCAGTCTGACTAAAGAAGACATCAGGCGGAAAGGCATGCAGCGTCTTCTGCGTCTTCCCCAAGAGTGACTCATGAGCCCGAGGAAAGAAATCTTGAAATCTGCAGCTATATTACTGGCTCAACCACCCCCGAAATGGTCGAAACAGCCTTAAAATCTTTGACTGGTAAATACCGGTAACATGAATTTCTGGGCCACATTCTTTGATTGGTCTGTTCTTTCTGAAACCCACTCTAAAGAGCTGATTAGAACATCCTGATGCACATCTGCCATGCCTTCCGATGTGTCCTTCACTCAGGCTGTAGTGCGCCAGTGACACGCCTCAGCCTTCTCTCACTGCGGTGTCTCTCACTGCATGGTGAGACACCACTCCCCGGTGGCCCTGCAGGGGACGGAGTGATCGTTTCGAAGGATAGGCGAAGGCAGGAGGGTTCACCAACAGTGCTGTTCGTGGCGAAGGCCCGTGGACCTTTTGCTGTTGGTGTCATCCCATCGCTGATTAAGTCCAGATGCTTCAGGTTTTTTCGTGGTTCAGCTACCGACCAGTCCTGGCGACCACCCAGACCAGCGAGTTGAGACGTGCTTTTTCTTCGTTTTTCTGTTTATAGTCTTTACTGAAGAGATCTGAACGGTGCTTTTTCTACGGGTATGAAGACAGGTCAACAATGGTCAACCTCTGTATACCAGACGTTTCGGGCGAAGAAAATCACCTGCCCCCGTCCGTCGACCTCGGGTCCGTCTGCTTCTTAAAACTCAGGGTCTCCGATGGTGGACCGACCATCGATGTAGCTGTCTGGATCGAAGCTGCGGATTTCACGCAGTCGGTCACAGCTCCCAAACGAACGAAGAAAAAGCACGGAGTGTTGGCTTGGCTCGGTCTGGTGTTTGAAGAGACCGGATCCACTTGAAGAATGTCAGGCGTTCCAAACCGCTCGGACGTGAACCGCCTGCTTTCCCGCATGCGGCACACGCAGCGGAACCACGTGGGTTTTTCTTCCGGCCTCAAACGACGCCTAAGGACATCTTCGTGAACTCCTCCTTGGTCGTGCATGACAAATAGCCTGCAGTCCGACCAGTCGTTGCGGCCGATCCTCAGGGCCGTTTTCGGAAGCCGAGACCTCGGAGGAACCCGAGCCTCTCAAGTTGCCCGGTGGATCGTCACGAAGCGTTCCTTCAAGAAGTGTTTCCCACACGAAGAACCAGGAAGCCCCAGTGCTACGTGGCAATCACTCACTCACCATCTCTCAACGACTCCAAGTGAGAACCATCGGGATCCTCCAGCTTCGCTCCGACGGGTGGTGGGCTTCGCTCCTGCCGACCGCTGGGCTAAGGCCTGACCGGAACAAAAAGACATGGGCCATACTAGGGACCCACAGTCAGGGTGGTGAATGGACACCCCTTAACTATCACCTCTAATAGGGGCTATCAAAAGACACTCCAAACAGGTTGTCCTGGTATGTAATGCAATCCGAATCCCCCAACTTCGGCCCTCCAGACTCCGGCCTTACCCTTACCCGACTTCGAAGTCCAAACCGACCACTCTCGGCTCCCGCTCCAGCGGTTTCAGCTCGGCGCGCCCCGCCCGTGGAACCCCGGAGGCCTGGGTACTTCACCGTGTCCAAGCCCAAGGTCTCGCAGACCAACGCCTCAGGCACCGGTAAGCCCACGGTCCGTAATGATTGGCTTAAATATCTGGATGTAGGTTGATGGCTGGTTTTCACCTTTGATTCAAGTTGGCCCAAAAAAATGATCAACTTCTATCCAACACTTCCAGCATACCCAACCGCTACGCGTGCAAAAAGACTGCTGGATTGGAGTGAGCACCTCCAAGCAGAGAACTCTCTAAGCTGCTTCTCTCATCTCTCGAACTCCCAAACAGGCCGAACCTCACCGGCCAAATCCGTCTCACCTCTCCCCCACGCTTTCCGGGGAGAGCACCGAACCACGTGCGTTTGGCGCTGCGTCAAGTGCCCAGGCGCCATGCCACCCGTGGGAAAGTCACGATCGAAGGTGGCCTGGTAGATTGCCAGGACCTGCGCGGAGTAGGACGCGCCGACGCGAAGCGAAGCACGTCGGAGGGTGACGCACAGAAGTACAGCAGTGGCAGGGGCGGGGGGTCATGGTGACCATTGACCATAACCTTCTGCTTGTGTGTCGTGTGTTTTGGGTTGTTTTGCTTCAGCAAGCGTCAGTCAACTGCAAGAAGCACCCCATTGTAAATGAAGAATGAATTGGCGGACAGATTTTGGTTTCAGAAGACCCCCGAATGGAGTCAAAGACCCCCAGAGAATTGAGGAAATCTTCAGCTTGTCGTTGTTTGGTCTATGTGAACCAGGTTTGCCAAGGAGGACCAGCAACTTGGTCCGCTGTCGTAGCTGTCCTGCTTCGAGAGTCCAGGAGTCCATTCTTCTTGGCCAACTTCTCCAAAAATTGACCCATCGATACCAAAGTCGCACCAAAGTCCAGGTGCTGCCTGACCCTGCCTGAGGACTACTAACATTGCATTCCGCTCTCACTGCCCCATGCCTGGGGATCCACTCCACTCTTGGGCGGGGCAGGAGGTGCATGGTGCAGATGAGACTTGGCCTCTTCCAACTCCTCGTGTTGACCGCGCGCTCCGGAGTTGGCGAGGCCGACGTGGATTCCAGCGAGACGACGGTGGAAGACGGAACTGACTCCACCGTGGTGGTGGGTGGTAGACCATTTGGGTCATCCAAATTGCCTCAAAGTGAATCCGGGTCATGTAGACTGCTGGTTGATATTTAAAAGATATCCTGCTAACCAACTGTCTACACGAAACGAAACACATGACGTCTCACGTGGCGAGTATAGTGGTCCGACCTGAATCTCCCTGGAGGGTTCCTGACTTATTGTGGAAGTTGACGGGAAGTTACTCTACTACGTCGTGCAGCTGTTTTTCCGAGAAACAGATACACAAACATTAAACCATATTATAATATAAATTTATATATATATACCAGCTAAACCAAAAGTGCTAGAATTGTTACACCGTCTTTCAAAATGTACATTTTTGAGAAATACATACTCAATGATAATAATTTCAATTTATTTTTTAAAAAGTTATACTTTTACTAAATACATACTCAACTTGAATATCTCCGGGTTATGATTAATGATGAATAGTACAGTATATGATGAATCAAGTACAGACAGGAGTCTCTGATGAATAGTACAGTATATGCGACTTCCCATGAGTCTCTGACAGGAGACTCTTCTTCATTGCCAGCACAGCATCATCAGTAAGCATGACTGCGCCCTCAACAAGGTCTGAACAACTCCAAACACGGCTCAATAGTGGCACCATGTGATCCCCAATGGCTACATGCAACAATCACTGGATTACACAATACATGTTCATGTAACACCATTACATGCTCATGATCTCCGCTCAGAATCCGGGTTTCTCCGCTCAGAGTCCGGTTTTTTTCCGGGTCTAGTCCGGGTCAGTATTTTCTCCGGGTCTTAATTTCTATTTCTCCGGGTCACGTTTTACCTAATACATGCTCACCAGTCCAAATACACGCTCAACCCATTTTCTCCTATATCACGTTAATCACGCTCGCATTCTATTTATATCTATATACAATATGGGAAGGTGTTCTTCCATCGGGCTGACACCATCAAATTCTTGGAGCCTCTCATGTAGACAATGGCCTCCTCCAAGCAAGCCTGCCCGGAGATATTCAAGCATATGACCAACAATATATGATGAATCAAGTATACTGCAATGCATGTTATGACCAACAGGTTATATTTAATATGTTAATTAATGTTATTTATGCAATTACGCAATACCTACCCTTTTACTCAATACATACTCAAGATTAAAATGTTTATACCAAAAGCAAAAATCAACATTTTTCAAAAAAATGTACTTTTTCGGGTTGTTACGGCTTAGCTGGTATATTATATAATGTTGTTTTATAACTAGCTGCTCTCCCCTTCTCTCCTCGGCCGAGGGCGCGTGCGTATCGGGCGGTGGCGGCGGCGGCGCGGCCATCGCGCTTGGAGCGGATCGGGGCAGAAGCAGAAGCGGGATCGGACCTCTGGGCCGTCCCAAAAGGGCGAGCCAAGCGCCGGGCGCAGACCGAAGAGGAAGAGGAGTCGGGGTGGTAGAACGGCCGGGCGGGCGGTTCCGGGAAGTTGGCCTGCCAACAAGAAAAAAGAACCTGAAAAGAAAATAAAAAACATCACGGCATCATTGGCATCAAAGGCAGCTGACCAAATCAGAAAGGCCATCGTTTGAGGGGACTAGGTGACTAGGTCGTCGGTGTACCTACACCCACACTGAGAGTTGGGAATGTCCGGAAGGATGTGAACAAAAGGCAAGATCAGACTTGGACACGGACCTCAATCTGTCCCATTCACCACAAACCTTCTGTCCTTAAGTTCATATTTGGCTACAGAACGACAAGGAAAGAACTCATACCTGCCACTACGCCTGGGAAAACCTCAGATGGGTCACTCATTCCCTGAACAAGAAGAATCGATGCACCGTCTGTACGTGGCAAAGTCTTGAAACTGCAAACCCGTCGGTGTCTGTCCATGTGGTCCATCTACTGGCCTTCTGGCTGATCATCTAGCAGAAAGCTGAAAGTATCTGCAATCAAAGTAGGCCAGTGGGTTGGTGGTAGAAAAAGAAAAAACATCTTGAATTCATGGATCACCATGTAGAATATCCTATTCAACTCCAAATCTATGATATCATATATAGATCTAAGCAGCACTTGCTTTCGTTTGGATGATCCCTCCACATACCCTGTCTGCGGCATCTCCCCATGTCACGCGCCGCATCGCATGGCCCTTTTTGGGGCTCTATCCGGACGCCATGTGCGCAGAGAGGCCAAGACTGTACATCTCCTGCTCGCTGGCGCGCAGCTCGCTGGAGCTCGCTGCGGGAGGTGGGAAACGAAGGTTGGACGACCCGTTGGACTCGAGGGGAGGGAAAAGGTCTGGATCGGAAGACGCCGCATCGCTGGTCGGACGACGTCCTCTGACGGATCGCATCGACTTCGACTTTCGACTCCCACGGTCGACTTCGACTTCAAGTAAAACGGTCAGGTCGTGTTGGAGGCATTGCTTGGGGTTTCTGGCCTAGCCGTTGGTCAGAGTCTGGAAGCTGAGAAATTCATACCCTTCCTCAGGAAACTTCCCCTCTACATCCCTCTACTGTCTTAGGTGCTGCAGGCTATTTCATATTAATTACAACATATTACTTCCATCGCAGAACCCAAAAAAGACGCCGCTTCGCCCGGCCAAACCCCAAGAAACCCGGATAGAACTTGGTCGTTCGAGTGAGTGTTCCTAAGGACGACGAATGGACTCCACCAATCTTTGTCCTCCTTCCTTCCATGCACTTGACCCTCTGATTGTTGCACCCTCCCAACCCACATCCGCCCTTCGCCCTCCTCTTCGCCCCCTCCTTCGCCCTCCTCCCCGCGGCATCTTTGGACGCGGCATCGAACACACACGTCGTTCGGTGCCTGGCTGGGCGTCAAGCGCTTGCGGCGCATCTGCTCCAAGAGCCCCATCGCCTCGAAGCCCTGTCGGACTCGGCGCTGTTCGCATCGTCAGACGGACGAAACCGAGGGAGGTTTGGAACAAACGGCTTTGGTAGACTCAGTAGACGCTGCCCATGGTTTCCTTGGTCAGAAGCCAGAATTGTAGCCCAGCTGTCGCTGGTTTCTGATCCGGAAATCCCTAGACTGGTCTAACGAGTTGGGTTTGTTCTGTGGGAAACTCCCTCGTGATGTTCGAAGAGAATGCTTCTTTCACGTCACCAGGTGCACCAGCTGCGGCGAGATGGATGAAACAACTGCGCTGGGCCACTCGATGGCCACGATCAGCGGCCGGTGAAACCCGGCCGATGGCCACTTCGGTCCCAGAACGTGCGTCGTCGTCGGTCAGCGCATGGTCGACGTTTTCAACTGTTGCAGCCCAAATGAAAAACCCGCCCGACACAGGGTGACTACTACGACTTGAGATTTATTGTTAGTGATTGTTGTCGTAGTCTCGAAGATTTTCAATCACTAACAATCACTTGAGACTACGACTGACTTGAACAATTCACCAAAGAAACTGGAGTTCCCCGTCGTGCGTCTTTGGTTCACCCCGAGAGAAATCCGATGTGGGCAGGGTCTGAGTCACCCCACCCCGACCCCTCCAATCTATGGAACCAAATTGAAAGGATTCGGAGGTCGCAGGTCGCTGCGGGGAAAAACCGTTGGAGCACGACGAGCGGCATCGAAGTGTCTTTGCCGGTCGAGTGGGGTGTGTTTTTCAACTGGCTGTCCCAGATCCGCCACCCAAACCCATGGAAATTCTTGGGTTTCTGCGCCCCAAAGAAGTGGGCCTTGTTGCTCTGTGCCAGAGTGCTCAAGGCAGTGTAGTAGCTCGCGTCGATGGCGCAGGTGTCCTACACCGGCGATGAATGCGGCCAGACCCCCCCATCGGATGTTGGGGAAATGAAGACGAACACACCGGGGAGTCGACGGTCTCGTTGAAACATGTTGTCTGCATCATCGAAGCATCGACCAAAAAAACAGCTGCAACATTGCCCAGAATCAAAAGCAGTTTATTCTGCAATACTACTTGCATAATATTGCAGAATGGAATTCTTTCTGCAATTCTTGTGTGAATAGCAATTCTTTAGCAATGGAACTTCACAATATTGTGTGAAGTGCTTGGAAGATCTTGGAGGCCTCTTTAGGTGATTTTTCACTTGGGTCCGTCATTTGCCAAGAAGTCTCACCTGGTCACACATGGAACAAATCTCAGGCCTGGGACATGAGTTCCAGGACTTGTTTCCACTGAGCTGCCTCACAGAAACTTGAGAATCCCAGTCGAAGCTCCGCAAGTTGTGGGTTTCGAGTGATGACTAAGTTTCCCTTTCATTTCAATGTTCTAGCAAACTCACACTGTGGGGAGGGGCAGTCGCTTTTGTTGCATCGAAGAAAAGGCGATGGCTGATTGAAAAAAATGGACCCATGTGACGGGCTAAATGATCAAGCAGCAAGCATGTTGAGTGTGTATGCCACTAGGCGTGGCCAGTACCTCCATACTGGTGTACTTCGGCCGGCCAACGGCTCACAGGTGGTCTAAGGGGCAAACACTTGTGGGTTTGATAGATAGGGGTCACTAGTCACTCTTTGTAACAAAGGTTCACCAGCAATCAGCATACATCCAGAATTTTAAGCCGGCAATTGCAAACCATGCAGCGTCAAAAGTACATAGCATAATAGCTTTCAATCCAAACAGCGCTCTCAGCCACGGCGGTGATGGCGGCCATGCTGTGAAGATTGCCACCGTTGACGATACACCCAACCGTTCAGAAACCAGCTGTACGTGCACTCTTGACATTCACATTCTTTTGCTAGAATTCGATTGCAGAAACTGAAGGCGTCAACCCCCAACTCGATCCAACAAAGTCAAAGCACTGCATTCTGCAAAAGCTTCATCCATAATCAGGGGCACAGAGTCGGGGATGGTCACACTTGCCAACGACGTGCACTGTGCAAAAGCTCTATACCCAATCTGGGTCACAGAGTCGGGGATGATCACACTAGCCAAAGAGCTGCACCCTCGGAAGGCTCTATTCCCAATCTGTGTCACAGAATTGGGGATGGTCACACTTGCCAGTGAACTGCAGGATTCAAAGGCTCTATTCCCAATCTGTGTCACAGAATTGGGGATGGTCACACTTGCCAACGACATGCAAACCGCAAAGGTTCCATGCCCAATCTGGGTCACTGAGTTGGGGATGGTCACACTTGCCAACAATCTGCACTGCTGGAAGCCTGCTTCCCCAATCCTGGTCACTGAGTCGGGTATGGTCAGGCTTGTCAACGACCTGCAATCTGCAAAGGCTCTATTCCCAATCTGTGCGACAGAGTCGGC